TATATATATACATATAATACACACATACATACACATATAGATATATTAGTTATACATATATATGTAATAAAAATTACGTATATATTATAAATTTATTAAAAATACGTATATATTATATATTTATTAGATAATATATTATTAATAATTTTAAACACAATACTATATTAGAATATGTGTAATCAGATTTACAATCAATTTTAATAAATAATGTATAACTATATGCATATGACTATATGTCTAAAATAAAATAGATATGTATGTAATCTCTAAATAAATCTATTTGACTTGGCGATTTTATATTGTGACTTGTTATTTTTCTTATATTAATCATAAATTAATTAACTTTGCATGTTTTATTTATAATAATATATTTTTTCACTTCCCTAACAATTTTATCAAAGAATTGTAAAATTAAACGACTCGATATTCTTGTTTGGAGACATCGTATATTAAAAGACACCCGGTATGACAAATACGAATGGAGCACTCCCTAGTGGTTGGTTGTCAGATTTGCAGCAACGTGCGGCGCACGTTGGCACGGGAAACCACGGAGAAGCAAATTGAGAAACGCCGATTTCACGTGCGTAACATTTCGCTGTCGAATTTTCTCCAGGATTCCCCTGACGACAATGAGCAACGAATTCACGATTAACGAGGTGAGTAGCGACGACTAGTTCGACTGAGGACATGATGTCCCTCGAATGATATTATGAAACGTATTCTTCTTTGCAGTTTCCCGCTTTGAAGTCGAAGCATGTTTATATCAGAGATAAGGTCGCGCTTCTGAAGACGATAAATACGATTCGGAATGATGGCGCGAATAATCTGCAGGTACTTCTTATCCACATTTCGTTTTTCTTACAAAATTTTCTCATTTGATTTAACATATAATACTTGTATAGGTGGTCACGGACTTTGACTTAACCGTTACGAAGCAGCACATAAACGGTACACATGTACTTAGTAGCTTCGGTAAGTACACAGATTTGCAATCAGTAATTTATTATATCAAAGAAAGTGATAGAAGTGTCGGTTCTTTATTATTATAATCTATTTTCTTCTAAGTTCGCTTAACTTTTTTTAAGTTGCAAGCTATCAAGAATTGAGTTTTTATATCTATTTTTATGTCTATCAATATAGATTAACTTTCATCTCAGTTTAATTTATTTTTTTAGTTTTAAGAATTAAGAACATTAAAAATAGATTAAAGAATTAAAATTAATAAACATTAATAGAAATGATATTAAATTAAATAACTGCTTGGATTGAAACAGAAAAATTGAATTTGCATGTTTAATTTCAGTTAGTTTATAGACTGTATAATAATTTAATATTAAAATGTAATTTCAGGTATGTTTCGGAAGTGCAAACAACTACCACAACAATATTTAGACGAAGCTAAAAATCTGTACAATAAGTATAGACCTGTAGAAATAAATCCAAATATGCCTTTGAAAGAAAAGGCAAATGCTATGCATGACTGGATGACAGCCGCGCATAATTTATTAAAGGGTATTGAGTTTGATCCTCATGAATTAGAGGAGATAGCAGAAACATTTGACAATATACTACGCGATGGTACAGAAGAGTTTTTTGAGAAATTATACAATAAGAAAGTGCCAATTATAATATTTAGCGCTGGTTTGGGGGATATAGTAGAAGCTATATTGAGGTATCACAATGCTCTCTTCGATAATGTAAAAGTAATCTCCAACTTTCTTAAGTATAATGGAAATCAATTGGATGGATTTAAGAACGATGTACTCATACACGTATATAATAAGAATGAGTGTGCTCTTGAGGAAAATCATCTGCAAGTACTTAAAAAAAACAGAATGTGTTGGTAATGGGCGACACAATTGGTGACGCTCATATGGTAGAGAGAATAAAAGACACTAAGACAGTCTTGAAAATTGGTTTTCTTTATGAACATGTAAGTATTTTGATTAATACTAAAAGTAATAATATTTCTAACCGTTGCTATTTTTTAAATTAATACTCTTTTCTTGAATTAAAAATACAATTTTGGAATTTTCAAGCTTTTCATCAATTATTATTTTTAGTCTAGTAAAATATTAAAATCAGAAAATTATAAAATCTTATCCTTGATATAAATAAAAATGTTTTATGTAGAAACAGAGGATTTGGTACTTTTAATGTTAACTGACTACAGAGTATTGACAGATAGCTATTAATTTTTCCTTGTTGTTTAGGTGGAAGCTAGTTTAGACTCATTCATGGAAAATTTTGATATCGTTCTTGTCGACGATCAAACGATGCAGGTGCCGATAGAAATACTGCAAAATATCTTGTAATACCATCTATTGCAATATCTTGTTTTGTATATACATGTACATGTCTACAAAAGCGTTAACATCATGCACATGTGACTGCTCTGTCGTTCAAAACACAGAGAATAACTTGTTTGCTTTTGACATATCTGAGATTAACTTAAATATATTTCTTAAAAATGGCATATCTACGTAACACAGATAGCTATGCTCATTTTGCTGAAGAATAATATATAATATTAAAGATGTGTATTTTAAATAAATTAATTTTTTACAACTAAAAAGTTAAGAAATATACTGTTTACAAATCTGTGCATATATGTGAATATGCAATGTCCAACTATACCTACTGTTCATCGAAGTTATAATTTGCGAAAATTGATTTGTACATTGTATTGTATATTGTATGATTGACATCTAGATGTGAAATTATCTTGTATTTTTATCTCAAGTACACCATTATTATTAATATTTTAATCAAAATCATCCTATTGTGACAAAGATAAGAGAAAAGGGTAAGAATGATTTGTAAAGAATCAAATATTAACATTTTTGTAAATCAATTTTAATATTTAACAAGAGTTTCAATGTTAAGCAGTTAATAACCTAAGATGAAAATTAAAGTTGAGTTTTTAAGAGAATTAAATAACTATGAAAAAGTTCAACAAGGAAGGACATAGTCTTTTGGAAATACAATTTGTAGATATTATATATATATAAATTTTTTTCTGCTTCTCTACTTTCTCTACAAGTTTTTATATATAATTTTTAATCTTAAAAACAAATAAAATAATAACGATACACTAATACGATATTAAATATGTTTGATGTATAAAAAGATGTATAAAAATAACGATAAAAAATACTTTTTATAACCTTAAGAAACATTTTAGGTTAAACGTCAAAATAGAAATTCGTTGAATTGGTCACGTAGTTAGTAACAGATGTTCTTGAAAGTTGAACTTTCTGTACTAGTGCAAGAATTTCTTGTCAAGAGTGTATACATTTCGAAGCATAAAACTTGGTTATACTCAGATATATGTATATAACTTTATTATGTGGATTAAATAATATAATAAATACGAAGGTAATAAAGTAAATGTGCCTGATTCTCTAGAGTTGAAAGTATTCTTACAAAAAAGTTCTTACAAAAAATTTGATAATTGTATATTTACTAGTAATTGTATACATCTTGTTTTTACTGACATTCTTGAATTATTGACTTTCAAAAAAGTTATGTGAAAATATTATAGATACTAGTGGAACTTTCGATATGATAGACTCACAGGATATTAGTGAACAAGAATTAGAAGTGCTAAAAGGCGACGCTGTAGGAGGTAACAACCTCTGCAGCAGCAAATGGCTAATTAATACTTTAATGTCTCTATGTCAGGTATTTCTTTATAAAAATATTTATATAGTAAAAAATATTTATATAGTAATTATTATTGTAAGCAATAAGTAATTTTTAATAAATCTATGATATAATAAGAAAAATATATATTCAAGGTACATGAAAATGGTTGGACGAAAGAATTAGAATCCCAACTTTGTATCTTGTGGGATCTGAGTATGGAAGAAGAAGTGGTATCTTATCTTATATCATACGATTTTCTGAAGATAGCAAAGAAAACACTGGTGGTTTCCGACGAACCACGATTAATTGTACATTCTATTTATTTATCCTTACTGCCTAATCTTTGGCTGTTCTATAGAAATTATTTGTTAAGTTAGCAGCCAATTTTAACTTGTTTCAACAATTAAAAATATCTTTTTAGGAAATAATCTTAGGTATTATTGGCAATATATGCTGTAACAAAGAAGCTATTGATACAATAGCTTGTGATCAAGAACTAGTTACACAAATCTTAAGATACTTAGCATCCGAAGACTCATTAATATTAATTCAACTTCTCAGGATTTTACAATTGATTGTATGCAAGATTTGGCAAAATCCAGAATCAGACTGGACAGTCCATTTTACAGAATGTGAATTTCTTGGAGATTCTATAACTTTTATGTTAATGAGTTCAACTAACAGTATGCTATAAATTATACATTATAATATATAAGAAAATTATTTTATATAATTGATTTTGAAATATTTTTATAGATGACTTATTGCTGGCGGCAATGAATTTTCTTGAGTCTGTATCTAAGATAAGTTTGCCACATGAGAATAGTTTTTTGAAAAAATTGTTTAAAATAGACAATCTAATTCCTGCGCTATTAGAATCATTCATGCAAGTAATATCAACAGAGAAAGATGGTTATTCTGAAGTGGAATTGACCTTCATCAGACATTGGTTGATAGTACTAATCGTCATAATGGAATCCGATTCACTTAAATTTGAAGACTATGAGAATGATGAGAATTTTTTAAAATTAATGGAGATCATGTACAGGATTTTGGAACCATATAAAAAGTCATATAATTTATATCCAATGCAACGATCAAGTATCGATATAATTACCGATACTTTGCGCATATTATTAAGTTTCCATTGTTGTGATGTAAATATTCCACCGAAGATAGATCACATTATTGGAACTTTAATTATTACTCTTGAAACTGGTAAGTAATTTGATTTTTTAAAATTGTGAACAGTATATACATTATCTTTTTATATAACAATGTATGTATCAGGTATGTCAAGCTCAAAGAAGTATGATTTGGAAGCCGAAGAACAAATACCTCCTAGTTTTTTAGATTTTATGATAAAATACTGGCTGCAGATTAATAAACTTTGCACCAGTGAACAGATTGTAGAAATATTATGTCTATGTACAAGTGAAGTTAGTCAATGTCTAATGATTCTTATACAAAATGATTCTAAGACAACACTCGAAATGCATGAAAAAGTAGAAAATTGCCGCTTACTTTTAGAAAATCTTCTAAAAAAGAATAATATGTAAGAGTGTAATAAAAAATGATCTCATTATTTTTGTACAAAAATATTTTCAATTATATATGGTTTTTAAATCAATACAAAATTGCAGTTATTAGAATTAACGATCTATTTTACAAAATATATTAAAGATTTCATTGTAATTCACTTCAATAATTTTGTATTTAATGCTACTAATTATATAATGTTATATAAACGATTACATAAATAATATTTTAAGATTCTTATATAAACTCCATACTAGATCTCAACAATTATTATAAATTGCGAAATTCTAATCTTTTAAATTTAACAATTATATTTTTATTATTTTTTTATTAAGGAATTTTTCTTGTAGTCAACATTTCTATTTATTTATCTGTCCACATATTTCACACTATATTAAGATTCAATTTTTATTTTAAAAAATCGAACATTTTTCGCAGTTCCTCTAGTAAAAGTAATTTTCATCATTTAATTTAATTAAATTAAAAAATTTTATTTTCCTTCGCTCTCAAGTTTCATATCGCTCTTATCACGCATGCGTAAAACAAAAACGATTAATTTTCATTCTGCGCATGTGCCCTTTTTAAAACTTGAGAGTGGATTAGTGGATTTAAATTTGCCGCGGCTACCCGCTGTCGGTCACGTCGCGGGTTATTAATTCGCCTATATCCGTGTAAATTCTGAGGTGTCGCTGAATTGATCGTCATCTATTCAAGGGGGGTAAGCCGCTGAGTGCCGGAAATTCTTTCGCTTAAACATCGAATATCTATTTTATCTTAAAGAAAGAAAAACCAAAGTGAAACGTAAGGATGATATCTGTGTCTTAGTCGCGATGGTGAGAATACGATGATCACCAAGATTTTCTGTCTTTCGTGTTCGCTGTGGATTTAGAACTTCCCTTTACGGCGATTACGGCAGTCTTCAGGATGCAAGAAAGAAAAGGGGAGTGCAATCACGAAACAAACGAGTGATCTCAACGATGACTGTTTCGCTCGAAAATCGCTCAATATTCCCGAAACTGAAACCGGCGCAGCTATTATTCGTAGTCACGTGATCTCGGACTGGGGAGGATATTCAAAAATCCAACTTTTAACTTTCATTGTATAGCAGATTTTCATTTCTTATGAAGACAATAGAACAAATGCTAGAAGAGCGACAAGGATGACTATAACCCCTAATACAGCCTTTGTTTCTTATCCTGTGATCATTCCGGATGGGATATAATTTCATGTCTCAATTAGTTCACATATTAATTTTCCTCCTCCCCCCATCACGACGAAGGTAAACAGAACAGTGCCCCTCTCTAATCCATCCCTCACCACTAATCGCGGGACGACGGAACGGGGATGATTGCGTCCGGACTTTTCGATTCTGATTGCGGAATTAGTGGAATTTTGTTGCCGACGTCACGCGATTGAGAGTGTTCTATGATTTTCTGTGAACAGAACTCTTGGAATTCTCCATCGTGTTTTACGTGTGTGTATGTGTTCGTGTGTGTACGAGTTTCTTTTTCGCAGAATCCCAGGAAGCAGTTTGCAGAATCTCAACGACGATTCTTCAGTTGCCATGTTCGAGATTGATGCAGAGTTTGAAGATACCAAACTAGAGAATGGTGATTTTTCGCTGAGTTCTTAATAGATTCTCGACAAATCTCGAGACGATGGATTGAGACGCGAATCCCATTGAAGATCCTGTCGAAAATCGCGAGTATTTTCTCAGATTGTGAAGTTCCCATAATAACATATTCAACCGTTACCACAACCGGTCTCTGCTACGTTCGATTAGCCCGATCTAATTTTCTAGTTTATTAATTAAACCGTGAACGTGTAATCTGCAAAAATCAAGTCACTCTTCTACACGGAATCAAGTTTTATCGAAGAATAGATGAATCTTGATTTCTGGCAATATCGAAAAATACAAAAAGATAACGGCAAAAATACAGAGTGCGATATTGTCTTTATTTTTCTTCCTTTTTTTATATCTAAAAATCTCAAATCCCACATTCATGTTAAATAAAAACATAACATCCACGTTAATTCAATCCTTGCCAATGTAAAAAAATATAAGCAATATATTACAAGTAAATGTGCCAATCAAGTTGAAAATTATCAAATGTGTAAGTTAATCTTTTGAAAATTCTCAACTATAGTTAATTTTCTTACTGTTTATATTGTCTTATGTGCCACTAGTTTTGTTAAACTAAAAATATGTAATATTAAAGTGGGATATGTCAATGTAGGAGTTCCAATCATGACAAAATTTTTTAGAATATTTTTTAGAATTTTTTAGAATATTTTTAAAATTAAATTTAAGATCTCTATGAACTATAGAATGAAATTGTAATTATTTTAAAATATTTTTTATTGCAATACAGAGAACAACTGATGCTAACAAATTGATATACGAATAATTTATTAAATGCCTCACTTTAACAACGAGTTAAAGATTAATCAATGCTGATTTAATTGACATTCGACTGACAATATCCTTTGTATGTTTTTAGTTTGTTGCAAAATTTAATTGAGATCGCGTTGAAATCCCAGTTTCTCGTCCGAGATCTTAAAGGAAGAGTTTCAAAGTGATTGAAAACGTTTTCGTTTTTTTTACTTTTTTTTTTTTTTTTTTTTTTTTTTTTTTTTTTTCTAGTTTTTGCAGCAGATATTCAAGGAATGCGATGCTTCAAGCACGGTTCTTGACTCGATGGTGCCCATGAACAACGCGGTGTCGGTCTCCAGAATTGTCGAATACATTCAGGATCGGTTGCCGACTTGGTCGTGAGTGTCCGCGCCAAACTGGGATGTGGCGTTATTTCCCTCTCAGACCGCGAAGTAAGATGCTGGCCGTCCGCCAATGTTGACGACGCCGACGGTCGCGAACGTGAGACGCGACCGCGATCATAGGTAGCTCGAAACAAATTGCTCGTTATGTCAGGCCGATCGATACAAGGACAGGCGCGATCGACGACTTGGCGTACGGCTTTAAATGTATATACGTGCACATTTCTTTCTTTTCTGTGACACGAGTATACAGCGAATTCGGTCACCTGCACTACATTGAATTCATACACAATGACTTAATCTGGACTTCCCGTTCAAACTTGTTTTAATTATAAAAAATAACAGATTCATTAAATGTTATCTGTTGGTATATAATTATTCATATTAATATCTTAGGTTTTTATAATAATTTTTAGTTTTTTTTTTTTTTTTTTTTTTTTTTTTTTTCCCATTTATTGGTAACTACTTATTTAGTCTAAATATAATAAATATACATGGGTTACTGATGACATATTATAATTCGATAAAATTAATGTAACACAGACTGTTAAAAACCACCACATATGTGTAATGACACAATATAACTTTTTGGATGATGAAATCATTAATGCATATTTTGTCAAATAATATAATAAACTCATTATTGCCTATTTATATAAATATTTTAAATGTTTATATATATATATAAAATTAATGTATAGCAGTGTTTATTCATGTCAGCATTATTCATGTATAGCAGCGTGCACTAATTTAGTATAATGCTAGTAATTAAATTTGTTAATAAAAACCCACATGAAAGATAAATGATACGGAAATATCTCTGGCCTGTGCATTATTAAATATGCGTACATATAAATGTGACATTTATTTATATTCAGTATTGCCTAAATCAGAGAAAAAATTTTTTTTTAATTGATCGTAATGTAATATGCTAATTTTGATCAACAGAATCGATGATTTGGCGGAATTATGGAAGTGTTTGGTTGCAATATCGACGAACGGTTGCGTGAATTTGCATCAATTCAAGGAAGGGACGAAGCATTGGATCATCAAGATGCAACAGGTTCAACCTACACAGAACAGCAGTAACGATACCCGGGAGGAACTCGTGTAAGAGAAAATGGAAATTTGATTTTTAGAAGACATATATCATATCGCACATATGACAATTCGCGATACTTTGAGCGCAAATGCGAGAACGAAAGATTATTATTTATTATTGGAAGGAAAAAAAATAGAGCGGATGCATTTTTTCAACGGAAACTTTATCGAATCCCGTCGGGATCTTCAACGTGGACCAAATTGCGCGTTTGTAAATTGTAAATTGAGACATCGTGATGTAAGGTCGCTATCGCGGACAATATAACAGCGCGGAATTCAGCGAATCGTAAACTTTGGAACGTCGACCGGGAAAAAGAGTGTCTCGAAAAAAATTTGCCAAAATTTACTTCGCTATTTTTAATTTCTTGTCTCACATCTTTTTTTTGCATCTGGATTCTTATTATTAGGACTATATCTCGCGTAGATTTATTCAATTGTCTTCAATTGACACTGTTTCGGAGCGGAATGAACAGATATACATAAATTCGCCCTTTTATTATCATTAGTATCATAGATTCATACATTACTCGGTAGTCGCTGTACATTTTAACTTGACCTGTTCGTATCGATTATTTCTGGATAGAAATCCCCGTAAAACGCATACTACATATATAGACAGTAATGTTCTTCTCTGTCCATTCAATGTAACGCGACCGTTATCGTGAATGCTCGATAAGCGATTGGACCGTTTCGATCGTATGGTAGCACCTCGGGGTCTACCTCTAGCCGACTACCTTCATTCAGAGACATTGAAAAATCATTCGTGCAATACACACATCACAAATATGTACGCACACATGCACACGAAGTGCAACGCGCGTATGCAAACGTTCTCGCGAGCATCGAGCCAGTTTTACTTTCTTTACTTCGGTGTGTATAGCGATCGCGAGCGACGTATACCGCTCGTTAAATTTACAGGAACGACCCTGCTCGGGGAGAACCGATAAGAGTTCAGAAATGAATTCGAGGTCTACGTGGTCATGACACAACGACTCGAAAATTGATTGAAGAATCTATAATTCGTGCGTTAAAATGAGCATATAGCATATTAAAGCGGTAAATTCAGAATAAGAACTGGATGATTTGTCCAAAGATCTGATGCTGTCTCAGCTCAAAACGAACGATTTGATTATGTATATTGATTATGTATTTGTTGAATTCCACCGGACCTTTTGAGCGGGGAACGCCATGTGCCACTAGACATGCATACGCAACTGATTACTTATGTGCAGTCTTATACGTCGCTCGCAATAGGTGACTGTCACAATTGAACGCGCGTGCCGAAATCTCGTCGGATCGATGTGAAACAACAATTGACGAAGAAAGTGTTTACCTCGTACAGATGTATATGTACGTGTGCATGTATGTGTGTGTGTGTGTGTGTGTATCTTTTTTTTTGGTCGTCGATAGTTCGAAAGCGGTTCCAAATCGCAAGATACTGCCGATTTCTCGTCATCGATCCCAATAGAAGCAAACAAGCAACACACAGGTGGTGTTCGCGAGGTGTGTGTAACGTGCGAATGTGTGGCAGCTGGAAATCGGCACGCGATATCTTATGCAATTCGCGCGAGGTGTTCAGTCTCGCTCGTGGTTGTATCCGGTGATCTTGTTAACGATGATGATTATTCCCGTCACGGTAAACGGGGAAAATCGGCGGCAATTTATTTTTTCGAACGGATTTCCCACGTTCGTGGGATTCTCTCGCTCAACGCAAATCGCTAAACGCACTGGTTTGATCGTCGTCGCATACGTTAACTCGCTGTTAATTAACACAGTCCAAGAATTCTAAGTTAATTGGTTGACGCGATGCTAGTATGTTTACGATAGTGATAGCGCATTCGATCCTGCAACGCTACATCGACTCCAATTGATTATGACTTGTGACCGATATGAGAAGTAAGTAGTAAATATGAATTTGATTCACGCTGCGTCGTAAGATTATAATTTAACATTTTATTTTATACATTTTCTATTACACACAGATAACAGATGAATTATTTTAATATAAATTTCTTTGATAACGTGATTTTATTAAATGCTCCAATTAAATCCTTTTTTCTTGTTCGTAGAATTTGGATCTACTGTACTTTTTATATGATTCGTGGCGTTTAATTGTTTTAATCGTGAATTATTCGTGGTTAAACGCTCAATTCTCTCAATAGATTTTTAAGTAAATACAAAAATATTACATTACATAAAAGTATAGTGACACATTTAATACGTTTAATACTGAAATCATAAGATGTGTGTTATGTCATTTAATAACAACTGTTTTTCTCAATGACTGGCAATTACAATGCATGTAACACGACATACGCTAATTATAGCCTCCTGAACGACGCAGATTCTTCGATGAAAATCATGGATAAAGATATCATGGAATTTGAGCTTCGTGTGAAACTTCGGGAACTCCATGAAGAGAACGTTGTCCTTCGAGACGAGCTCGAGCGACAAGAAGGCTTAATCGACAATCTCAAACAACAACACAGCATTACTGAAAAACAGCTGTGCGTATGATTTACTTGTTGCCCAAAATGTTCCAACTGTGTTTGCAGATAAATTAAAAAAAATCGGCTTATACAAATATATTTATATTTACTTATGCATTTTTTCGATAGAGAGCGTTACATTCAGAAATGTCACCAACTTGAGAAGGAGAATGACGAACAGAGAGATCAATTAAACGAGTTGATTCAAAGCGACAAGACTAAGACTATGAGCCTTCAAAGTTACACGAAAGAGCATCAGAGTCTGTTGAAAAAATTGGAAGCCGCAGAGCTCGAGGTAAAAATAATTGTAACTTATTTAGAGAGAGTTATGATTTCTCCGCCGTATGAATTTATACGTTCATTATTCGTACATCCATTGCAATCACAAAATTTTTTTTTATAAATTTTACTTTTTTAAAAAAATTTTTACTATTTATTTTTCCATGCAATTTTGTGTTACTATTTGAATATAGATTCTTAATCACCAGAAAAAAACCTTCAATTTTTCATTTTTTTTTGAACTTTTATTTTTACGTACAAATAAATAGATGCAAGTTATACCAGTTTTAAAAGAAAAATTGGAGAAAATCAGCAAAGAAAAGATGGAATGTATAAGACAATTCACCAGAATGCAAGAGGAATTAGACGAAAAAGAAAACGAATGTAAACAATTAAAAACTACAATAACTGAACTGACGGATTCAAATCTTAACATGAAGGAGACCTACGAATATACAATTCATGTAAGTTTAAAAATTGCGCCATATGATAGGATAAAGTCTAGTGCTGTAGCAAGAAATGTATATTGCAGAATCTACGTGAGAAGAATCATTCGCTTGCTGATGAAAATATGGAACTGCAATCATTATCGGCTGTTCATGAAAATTCTATCGGAGATAGAGTAAACTATTAGTTAATATTATGAAAATGCAAATCATATACAAATGTTATTTCTCGCGGTATAACCGATGCGATATTTACAGTTCTCGACGTCAATAATTTCGGATATGGATGTATCCCGCATGCATAGCACACCTTATAAAAAAGTGTTATTAGAAGATTCATTGTATGCGGAATTGAAGGCTTCAGTAAGTGAAAATACTTTTTTTGATTAAGTTTTTTTTTAACACGTAGATAAAATTATAGTCATGATTATTTACGCGTTATTTAAACACGCAAAAATTTTTATAGAATTCTTAAATGGTTCTTTTATTTGTTTAATTAACATTTTGCATTTATAGTGTCTTACAGACGAACTCCTATATAGCAGAAATTCCTACAGACAAGAACTCCAAGAGGAACTAGACGAATACAACGCCGCGATTTTTACGACGATGGAACAGCTAGAAAAGTCATATTTTAATTTAATTATTTTTATTTTTTTTTATTAATTGTTATCTCCTTTTTTTGTTCGAGTTTTACTTTTTTTGCGATTGGTTTGCAGAGTTATACAGATTTTTATTATGATGCGAAACTCCACTGATAATATACCCGAGTTTAACCTGCAAGACACAGACACGAGAGCTAACAACGTCGACATATTGAAACGCAAAGCAGCTTTTCTACTGAATATGGTTAGCATCCGGCTTGGGTTTATTTCAGGATTTTTCTTTCACCGCGAACGTCGTCGACGTCGATAACGCATACTTAAACGATTGCCTTGACATCCGCGTCATACTTGTCGCGGTATTACTATCGTCTATTGACCGCCCGTTCATGGCAAACACAGATTTTCATGACAAAGCGACGCACGCGCTCCGTCGATTTCACGTTCACGGTTTTTCTCTCTCTTTTTTTTTCTTTCTTTACCGCAGTCTTATCTGTTCACCGACAAATCACATTTTTTTCTCGCAGGCGACAGAAGAGATCACGAGGAGAAACACGAGGAGAGATTCAAGCACACAGCTTCGAGCTGACTACCCGGCAAACGCAAACGATAGTTTGAATGAATTTGGCATCAGGAGTTTTCGGGATCTGTTGTCGGCAACGTAAGTTAATAGTGTATTGTTCGCGCGAAATACTTGCGCGTCTATGTACAGAGTTACACTTGTCCGAGTTAAAGATGATTAATTCCCGGAAGAAGAATCTATCATGAGTGTAACCTCGACTTGACTTTTTTTTTTGCTTCTTGCACGAACAACCTTGGGTGATTTTGACGAAAGGCTTATTCGATTATAGGCGCTATAATCTCAGGCAATACGCGTCACATAAATGAGAGAAATATCGCTTCGATTTCCGAAACGAATGATCATTCGATTCGAATATCTGGACCAAGGTCGGATATAGCGGGCGGATTTTCAGGGTTTCCCATAAAAATAGCAATGCCGTTTCTCAATGATTACTCGTGCCTGCATATGTGACAGCGCCCTCAGATGACACTCGGCATAAAAATAACCGGATTACCCTGAATCTCGTCTTAAATCATCATTTCCATCCTGCGTCTTCATTGTATCAAAATAAAAATATTTGCCAGTCAATTGCTTTCCAGTTTCTCTTACAAATCCGAAAGCATTGCATTTAATTCTGAGATTCGCACAAGGTCTCCGTTTCGAGCTCGCGATACATTTAAATTTACTCGTTTTTCCATTGGAGATGGAAATGTATCATTATAAGTATGCTTAGATAATATTATATTTTATCGTTAATTACGATAAAACATTGTTTTTCATGCGAAAGAAGAAAAATATCCGCGAGACAACAACGGGATTTGCTGAGGAGTAGAATTGATACATCATCAGATGTGGATATATCGAAGGAATGTCAGACGGTCTCAAGCGTTTATTAACTTTTTTTCCTACGCAGACGACGCATTGCAGGAGCTAAGAACAAGTTACTTCAGGAAAACACTATATTTCATATATTTCTTCTTTCGGGTGAGATTATCACGATCGTTATGGAGATCTCTCGAATCGCAAACCCGGGGAACCTCGTTTCGGCTTACGCATATTGCGCGAGAAGACGTCAGCACCATCAGGGAGAACGATTTGATTCACCAGACGCGGGTGCAATCAGTTTGCTCCGGGCCTTCCCGTCGCGCGTGTCGGTACCTCGTGAGCAGAGTTTTCAACGATTCGGAAAAATCACGTCAAAGTGATTCCAGAAATTTGCTTCTTGTTGTAAGGAAATTTTCTCGCATGAGACTCATTTACATCCGATCGTGATTCTTGAAGCGAACTCGTGCTTGCGTCTTATTGATCATTAACAAAATCCAAGCAAATTCCAAGATTCGGGATAAGTTGTTGAGATTCTCCTTTGGGAGAACCGCGGAACGTGATAGACGAAAATTTGTTTTTAGCTGATTCGCGACATGTTCAAGATTATAACAAATAAAATAGCTAATGGGAAACTAATTGCGAGCGCAACACGTGCGGATTTAATAATAAAATACAGACGCAGATAACATCGATGTAATACCGACATTAAGCGCGTGTAGCAAGGACAGTTTGATTTGTTGCCTTAATGGCATGATCGCCGCGCTAAATCTATGCGCACATGTACCATGCATGCGATTCTAATTAGTCGTCTCTGTAATCCGCGCGAATTGTATATGTCATCGGAATTGACCTCGTTCGAGCACGTACAGACAAGCGAGACGAAATATTTTACATGGATCTTTATTTTAATTATGTAAGAACGTTCTCGTGTTATGCGCAATGAAATTTTTTTTGCTCCTCAAACTTTATCATGTATTATATAGAAAGAATGAAGATAATGAATATTGAATTGATTCGTGCTGAAATTTTAAGGTCGTCAAAACTTTTGGCAGACTCTCGTTATGCAAGAATTTACATTTTGCCGCCGGCTATTACTGACATTCAAACAGTTATCGTCCGTTATCGCGTTAAAACGTGTATTCTCTATAACAGACACGAATTAAACACTCGGCTTTTGTAAATCTCGCGGTAAAACTCAACGCCGAACTAGTTGTTGAAGCGTAATTTATGTACGGTGTACTCAGCTTGCCTATTCCTCAATTTCTTTTTGCTATAATCGCTATTCTAGCCGACTGTACCCAAAGGCTGAGACGGATTTGCGATCGATAACTTTGCGCTGCATGAACGAAGACGATCGCGAGGAAGACTCGTTCTTAAGAATTATAAAAACGTATGCGGGCGTTCAAAGTCGATTCCGCATCGTTGAACCCATCATCGAAGAGTTACACGACATTATTGAGAGCCTTGACGCTCTTGCCAATCGTAAAGATCATCCACTGTCTGAGAATTCAAGGTTGAGTTGTACAAAATTCTCAAATTAAACCGTTTAATTATCGGTTCAAGATTTTATATTACAAAATCTTTAAAGAAAAAGAAACATCTATATCACGAATTTCATATTAAACAACATAAAAGTGTTAATGGAAACCAAAGTTGCTGTAATTCAAACTGATTATTGTTAATAGGCATCGATCGATATACACATTGTCATCGAGTTTGCAATCGGAAGACTCAAAGTGGCTAAGGTTTGGTTGTCAAACTTCCTTCGTTGCACAAGGAGACGGTCTAATGCAAAAGGATTGTGAGGAGAAACCTGCACTTGCAGAAGCAAGTAACATTTCCGATCAAGAAAATCCGATCTGTTCCGAGGAGAATCGATCGAGTGAGATGTCGAGCCTCCTGCAAGTGGATTCAAAAGCGTTAACCACATCGGAGGAAGAGGAGACAAATATGAAAAGCTTTCAAGTACCGGAAGTGAGCAGTGCGAGCACCCCAGTTAGTCCTCGTAGAAAGATCTCGGTCTATTATCGTTCGTTTGACGTGGTGGCGGTGCAAGATCAACACGAAGCTCAACCAGGATCCAATCTGGAGGTGAGACAATTGCCAAGTAATCTGGACGAGTCTCCCATGCAAACCGACAAAACCGCAGCGAGGGATAGAAATAGCCTATTCAATGCGAAGTATCCATTTGGCCATACTTATCGCAATATAAAGAGCGACAGCGATTCTTCGAGCAATTCTACGCCACTGAAACAATCCCAGGACAGCCCGCTGCACGATGAACCGCCGGTACTCAGAAAGATCCATTTGGCGCCCACACGTTTGAAATTTTCACAGAAAGTCAGAAACGAGTTAAATAGAACCGAGGTTCCCAACTACGCTTCCCCAATTACAACGAATTCCACCGAATCGGATATTTCAGAGTCCATCCTGACTCCCCTTGATGGAGAATGTAAGGAAGATGCCGCGTATTCATCTTCGACGTCTGCCATAGTCAAGAACAAGATGGAATTCAAGAAGTCGGACGATTTTCTTATGAAGAAATATGCAGTGCCATGTCGCTACGTATCTTTGCATGATCAAACTGGTAAGTGCCAATTTCAATTAATTCTGATAACCGATCTCGATCAAGTTGGAAATACGCAGAATCTGTAACGTAACACGCTTATTAATTTATATTACTTTAATGATACGATAGGAAAAAAATCTATTGCGCGTATCAAAGCGCGATATCGATCGCCGTCTCTCGGTCGCCGTCTATTCCTTACGTCCGTCTCGGTACGAGAGCTCGTAGAAATTTCTCTCAGGCTGTTTTATTAATTCATCGATGTCGTTTTCTCTCATAGATTTAGCGAAGACTGCGGATTCAGAGGATCCCCACTCTCAGGCGAGCGTGCAAAGAGACGACAGCGAGAGTCAGTCGCGAATCGAACGGCCAGTCGATAGCCAAATGTCGAGTCGCGAAGACAGTTTAACCGGTTCGGACAGCACATGCATACCGGCGACGGGGTCCGATGATCGACGCACCGACGAGAAAGTTGAAAACGAGGTCGGCACAGCCGCCAATGTCGTATCATCTACATCGTTGAGCGATTCAGTCTCTAGGAAGGTAGTGCCGTGCAAGACTGAGGAAGAGAACGATGAAAAAACGAGCAAGAAACGTGTATTGAAACCGAAGGTTAGTAGCAGGAAATTTGGAAAAATTCTTTTAAATAATTAAAACGTGACATTTGTCCTTTGGAATGAATCTTGGAATGAAGAAAAGACCGAAGAGTGATTCGGTTTCTCTCTTGTTTGAATTAAATATTTAATAGAACACCGCGTTTGTAACTTGAACATCGTTGAGCGTTCAATATTGTACAAAAGTGATTGAGCTGCGTTTTAATAGAAATGCGACCTTAACACACGTTTTGATCACGGTCGATCAGCAATAAATCTGCGGTCAATTGGCACTAATTACTCATACGGTATGTCGCAATTATCTGACACGTGGTCATCCCATCTGTTGCTAGATCGCGATCGTTGGCTTGTATTATAATCCAGCGATATACGTGGCTCTCAATTCTTGTAATAGGAAGTTTAACTGACTTATTGGATCTATCTCTCTTCAGTAAAAAAGAGCGAGAAATAGAGACAGTCTTTTCATCGAGCTTCCATATAAAATATAGAAGATGGCGTATAAAATAAAATAAAATAAAATAAAAGATTTCGTAGAAACTAAAGTTACAAGAAAGCAAGAAGCTAGAAAAACTGGTTATAATTTTTTTTTTTATTTCTTGATGCAGCATCATTTATTTTATCGAATGTCTTACACGTTAGCACGCGTGTCAATTAAACGCAACAGGTTTTACAGCAATCTGTGATGTAACAAGAAACATCTAATGAGAGGCGTTAATGCGAAATTATAGGAAAATTATTTTTATTGTGCTTTCATTCATCTTCCAATCACAAAGGCGGGAGTGACTTTCATCACGAGTCTCATGACAACTCACTTCGAAAAAATAATAGATTATCTTCTCTTTTCTTGCCTGTGTTTACGTGCGATTACAAACAAACAGGCAACGTATCTCGTTTTAACGCGACGTCCAAAAATAGCAGTGGAAAAATCGCACATATTTTAAAAGATACGCGATTCCTTCTCGTTCAACTTATTCTGAAGAACGGCCCGCTAATTAATTTGTCATCGACACGTCTTTGCGCCTATCGCGATTTATCAGCTTTCCGCTAATAAATCTCCTATCGCAAATATATAATTGAGTTATTTACTGTGAAAATACTTGGAGAGGACTTCCGACTCTGATTTGCATTTAATCGTATTTACTTCTCTGTTTATTTCTCAATTGCCATCACATATACTTTGCAGGATCGACAATTTTGGTAATTTTTTTTACGGGCATTCGCCGGTGGCAAGATGGGACGTCCCCTGTTTATCTTCTCTATTATACCGATTTTTATTGACATAGTTGTACCGATCGCAGATTCGCAGCGAAAAGTCCGAAGGAGCAAAGCTGCTCCGCGAGTTTTTATCTTATAAGTTGCTTTGTGACGATTTCCATGCGCCGCTCATGCTGCCGATTAAAGCTTCACGACTTCTCCATCATCACAGCACTAAATTAATCGACTACTTTACTTACGGGTTCGCTTTATACTCGTATTTCTCAGCACAAATGTAAAAAAAGAAACGTATGCATGTATTGCGCACTTCATTTCATTCAAAATAATCATCGACTCAATTAATTGTCTTATATAAAGTTTACATAACGTTAGATGTTTATTCCTTTATTGCATGAAGAAATTCCACAAAGAATGACTGTTGAGTGACTTAATAATAGTAATAATATAAATTAAAGAATTTATATATCGTTCACAAGTCAGTTATTAATCAGCAATTTTATGCGTTCCTTTTTACAGATCGCTATGCTGATCTAACGTGAAATTCCACCGGAATACCGCGAAGTTATAAATATTATATTGAAGTGCGGTAGCGTCACAACGCACGTGCCCCTTCTACATCCGGCGGTCTATCTCGTTTGATATGAGAAATAATATTTGTCTTAGGTTGCCGCGTAAACGTTCGACAGACATTAGTGGAAAAGCGAAGAGAGAAGACCGCGGCCGCCGAAATTCTCATCGGTCCAAAATTCTCATCACTCTCCTTACCTGTCAATGTATTTATTTAGGCAGCAATCAATCGTTTTCGCAAAGCGGAAAAATTCCGATGATCACCTCCTTGAACTTGGTCAGATCTGGTGGAATTCTGCCTTCTCTTTGCCTTTGCCTTTGCTATTATTTATTCTTCCTCAAGTTTCAATTATACTGGAATGCGCGCGCGACGTTCTCTCGCATTTCCATTCTTTCCTGATAATGTTTATCCGAACGTGATGTGATAACGCGTGCAGTATGTAGAAACGAAGGTCATATTACCACTGGAAGTGCGATCTGTGTCAAGTTAACTGTTCCTTATCATTACGAACTTCCCCAATCTTGCATACGCAGTGATTGTTAATCGGCAACAGCTCAACGAGCAAACGACACGAGCAAGCGTTCTCACATGCACTCTTTTTCCGCCGTTCTGAAAGTCATTAAATACTGAGAGATAATTTACAGCGGACGTCCGCTAATTTCGCGAGTTAGTAGACACGTTTATCAAATTCGAATTGCTCTTTCTTCATTGTTTGCTTTAAAAAATCGCTTTGTTATTACAGCGGTTCTTGAGTGCTAAGAGATCGCGTTCGGAGGGCGAAAACCTTGGCCGATCGGAGTGCCGTTGCAAACGAGTAGATACGCCTTTGATTTCGAGGGGGAATCAACGCAGAGTCTTCCCGAATCTTGTGGATGATCACTTGCAGGAATCTGGGCTAAACAGTCTATCGGAAATTGAGACGGAAAGAAGGTGAGTATGATATAACTTGATGTAGCATTCAGTTTTGTGTAATATGATTTTTTAATTAATTGTTGAATAATCTTAATTTTCAGAGAAAATCTAAGCGAGTTCGAACTGCAGGTAAATAAATACACTCTAAATATACAATTACAAAATATTTCAATGAATAAGTAAATTATAAAGGAAACTGCTGTTGTAGAAGAGGTACATAGCGTTCTCGTTATGCCTCTGCATAGATAGATTGACTCTACCGCAAAGGGTAGCGATGTCGCTTCGGCAACGCGATCAATCTGAGAAAAATCTTTCCTGCGAAGTGCAGAAGATGCAGCAGGGCATTCAGGCAAGCGAACACGAAAATATTCCGTCGCTTATTCTTATTGAGCAAATTAGTGTTAGAATAAAAAGCATAGAAGCATTTCAGTTAAATTGTTAAAGCGCCGCAATTGTCATTTGCCAATTAGTTAATTAGTAGTCGATTTTCGTGGTTCGTTGAAGGAATTGAATTTTGCATAACGTCAGGAACTCGCGCCACTATGCACGGACAGGGAATCCGCGGAGCGGGTGGAGCGGGTCAGGCATCAGTTGGACATGATTGTACGATGCGCACACAAGGTATCATGTGCAGCCGAAACTTTAGGTGCTGTCCATCAGGAGCGTAGGGTTTCCCGAGCCGTTCTGCTGGCCGATAGATATCTTCACGTGTTGCAATCCCGATGCGAGAAACTGTCCGCCAATGTCACCGAGACGAAGTGAGAGTCAGATTCATCATCTTCCCTTACTTGCCTTGTCTCGTCATCCAATCGTTCTCGCTCAATCTGTATCTCAAACTTTGACGTTAGTTTTCAAGATATAATATTGTTTATCAAGATATAATATTGTGCATCCTTGATCTTCATGAGTAAAACTTTAAAGCTTCGTTTTCCAATAAAGTTCAGTTAATGGTCAGATGATTATCATTGATAAAACGTTTGCGACGAAGTCAATGTAAAGTTAGAAGTTAGAAGTCAATGTAAAGTTCTCTTCCCCTTGCTTCCGAAATGATGAGATAATATCAGTGATAATACACGCTGTGTTCGATTCCAGACGGATCCTGGTAGAGAACAACATAGTGGTAGAGGAGAACTCCGGCGAGCTCAACGACGAACTGCCTCGGATGAGATACAGGAGCGGTACACCCGCCAATAATCGTATGATGGTTCGAAAATATTGAGAGATCCATGTCCATTGCTTTTTTCGTTAGCTTTCCATCGCATGTCAGATATTTTATTATGCTTTTTCCATCGTTTCGATGTACTTCCGCACGCTTGCACAATTTCGCAGGAGTCCTTTGATGCACTCAGCTTGCATTTTCATTTTTTTCCACTTCGTTTCGTCGATTAATTAGTACGTTTTTTCGTTAATTTTTCTTTCTAGATGGCTAGGAGAAGAGCCAGCGTGGCCACAATGTCTCGGCCAATGGGCAGCACACAGGATGTGATAAAGGCAATTTGTCTTGTTTTATTGTTTTAGCTTGGATTTTTTGCATTCACAGTTTGGTATTTCAACAAGGCTATTTTTTATATTCCGCATTAATACAATAACATATTTAATGGTTGCCTTATATTGCCATTTATTTTCTTCTTTTGCTCTTTTTACATTATCTATTTTTTTTCTTGTCTATACAGGATACAGTGAGGCAACGAAATTCCGTTTCTGGACGTATGACTCTTAGAAGACCGTCTTTCAGCTCCGAATCTCCCAAATGGGAACTCGAAAAAATGGATCGTACAGAGTTAGTAATATTGTTAATTTAAATCTAAAAATGTCTCAAACTAATACTTAAAATAACTAAAGTATGTTTCAAAATAATTATTAAATATCTCTTGTAGAGTATAATTTTTTATATATCACATTAAATATTTTTCTTATATTTTTGAATAGAAGTTCCAATAGCATTAGCGAATTACGGGGTATCTTCGAACAGGCCGAATCTCGTCGCAGCTCAAGAGAGGAAAATAATAATATGTTGCGATTAAGTCACTCCAATAGTCCGAGTGGTATGACAAACTGCGCAATAATCGACGATGAGGTTTGGACGGATACAGAGCAAGAGACTTTTTCCGAACATTTTGTCGACGAAAATATTAATTTAGATAATAGATCGCGGTAATGTTTTTTTTTTATTTTATTTTGTCTGATTGTGTATAATGATTTTACTTAATGTAATTTTTTCTTCACAGTCCAAGATTTCCGTCACACTCTTTCGAGTTAAGAAGAAGAAAGACATTACTATGGTGTATAATACCATTAGGTGTTGTATTTTTCTTCCTCGGCTTTCTCGTGAATCAGGTGATGTCTGTAATAAACAGTTGCAACAACAATAACCGTCCGTTAAACAAATGGTTGATCGAATACATTTTCGGCAGATATTTCCAGACGAGAAACGCCGCGCCTTACCCAATGTGAAATGCGATGTTCCCGCTATATCGGTAAAATAATTAGCAGGACTTGGTGTAATAATGTCAAATGTAACACACTGTAACATATGTTAATTATGGAAAGGCTGAATAAATCGATAATTGCTAAGTTCGTCCCGCGTTTTAACGAAATTGCACTAAAACTGCAATTAAGATTTTTGATTCGCAACTACGTCGTACTATAATCTCAGAAGCGACAAATCATATGAATTCTTCTCGTACATTTTGAGGCAAGAAATAAACTAATTTTTTTGTTCGTATATTATTTATCTTTGACATGAATTGGTAAAGTCTAGTATTTTCTGTGTTGTGCATTAATATATAAATGTGAATCTAGATCAACTGTATCATAAGATTAGCGCTGAAATAAATGGATACATGTTAATTGAATAACACATTTATTTATTGATAATGGAAACAAAACAAGAAATGTTAGATTTATTTTACCAATTTATATCATCAAACCCGCATACGAAAAAACTAATTTATCTCAATGTAAAATCCAAAGAAAAAGTTCATGCTTCTGATATCATCACAATTCTTAATGTCGTTGCAATCAAGAATCAAAGATTTAAAAAGAATTATATCATTTATATATGACAATAAATGATATTTGCGTAGAAAATGATACGATTAACACTATGTCACTGTATTGAAAAATTTTAATAAGATATATTTTAAACTATAAAATTTATTTTAAACATTGAAGGATGTTCAGATTGCGTTTATTATTAACATATTTATAAAATAAGTTTAATTTTTAAAGTTGGTTTAAATTGTTTAGAAATATTCGTATTATTAATAAAAAAATTGGCAGGATCAAATATGTAATTTAAAATAAGGATATTTAATACATCTTTTACAATTTTTATTTAATAATACTTTGCTCCTTCCCTCTGAACATCTTCACTAAAACTTTAATTATATAAGAACTTTTAATATAGATTACGGGAAAACACTAAGAGGCAAGAGAGCGATAATGATAAAAAATAAAATTATCATCCATTCACTGTTGCATCATTGTGTTCTTATTACAGATTATTCATTCATTCATTCAGCATTACATCAACTATTGTATCTAAATTTAATCTAAGATTTTATCTATTCAATAATACATGTAAGATGAAATTACCAACATCTGGAAATTTATCGACCGTTTATGTATATAAATTTTGCTGACTACATATTTTATAATAATTTCCTCCGCCTCCGCCTAAAGTTCTGCCTTTAATTCTATGGTTAGCCTACAGATTTTAATTCCCCAGCTTAATTTATGTTGCTTTGCAACATATATTCTTATTTATTAGAATTCTCAGAAATCATACTTCTCTATTAAACATCGAGACACAGCACGGATACCAGTTCATGTATGATGCATCACAGACGAGTGCTCATGCTAGTATGTGTGCCAGCTATCCCCCCCCACGTGGCTGCAATCGTATATGAGGCCTGTTCTTTTCAGTTAAATTTCTTGCACGATTCATCTTTTCTCTTTTTCTCTCTAACATGGAAAGAAAAGGAAGAAAGATGAACTGTGCAAAAAGTTCAGCCGAAAGGAACAGCCTATGAACTGGCATCCCTGTCGGATGCAGATCCGACATTGCAGAAATGAGTCTTTTCGCCGATCAGCTGTTTTGCAACATCGCCATATTCTGAACGACTCGTGCAGATGTGCGATAAAATCACGATCAAATATATTATCGATGATAATGATAAATAGTTACTCGTAAACTGAGTATCGCAAATGTACTGAGTACGAATGATCGAATGAGTCGCGACGAAAATGCTATCGAGTGATATTTTATTCGCAGACGAATTATGAGGATTTTACGGTGTAAGAAAAGAAATTTCCTCTTACATATAAATTTCTTTTGTGTTATATTTTATATAAGAAACTTAGAATAATAATATAATAGTATATTAGCATATATAAAGTTTTATACCAATTTTTTTTAATAGTATCTGCCGATTTTGTTAATTAATTAATTTGTTTAGTTAATTAATTAATTAATTTGAAGTGCAATTAGCGGCGGAGGGTGCGTCCTGCAGCACAAGGAGATGGTCAAGTGTTGGGCCTACACTCCACGTGCGGCATATATATATATATAT